AGAGGCTGGCGCGGGCCTCCCCGAGCCGCAGGGGAGGGGGGGAGCCACGGCAGGGCGCGAGCAGCCGGCCATCGCTCGGCCGTCCCCTCCCCGTGCACTGCTCGAGGTCGCGCGCGCGCGTGCTGCGCAGGAGGGCGCAGAAGGCCCCTCGAGGGCCCCCCCTATCGAGAAAGAAATGCGGGGAGGGGCCCTCGATGGGCCCCGCGAGCCAGAGAGAGCGGCAGCGGTGGAGGGAGAAGCGAGGCAGGAGAGGCTGGAAGGGACCTTACGACCACGGGAGGGGGAGCCGAACATCGGGGATGTACGGTAGGTTCGTGTCGTGCCGACTTCGGCGTTGGTTTCTGACACCACGGAGATCGTTCAATTTTGAAGGATCGGCCGTTTCAGAAACATCAGATCGTTCCACATCGACCGATTCTGGGTCGCCAGCGGCATTCAGCATTGAACGCCGGCGGCGGGGTCGCCGCCGGTCGACACGACACGAACCTACCGTACCGACCCGGGTCAGTCCAGACCCGGGTCAGCCAGGCTTTGCAGGATCCTGCAGGGTCCTGCACCCAAGCCCAGGTCAATGCAACCCTGGCCCTGCAAGATCCTGCAAGATCCGCTAATCCCCGGCTCTTGAGCCAGCGCTGGCGGTTGTACGACATCGTTCCGGATGCCGATGCGCACGCTGCAGGTGCAAGTGCGCTCTGCAGGGCTTGTGCTGCAATGAGATCCCATGACAGCCCCAGAAGGCCTTCTCAGAAGGCGGCGGGATTTCTCAGAAGCCCCCGCGCCTTCAGAGAAGTCCTCTGCGTCTTCGGGGAAGGCCTAGAAAACTTCTCAGAAGGACAGGAGACTTCCGAGCCTTCTGAGAAGAAGGCCCGCCCCTTTTCACCTCCCCCCCTCGCTCGCCGCCGAGCAGGACCTCCTGCTTCCACGGCGAAACGCAGGGAGCGAGCGGCGGGCCAGCCAGGGCGACTCGGGCTCGGGGCACCCGGGCTCGGCAGATTCGGCTTGGCCCGACGGGGCAATCATGAAAACGGCGAGGCCCATTTTGAGCTCCCGCTGCAGGCGCCCCACGAGAACAAGACCGTCCAAGTCCAGGACGCGCTCGTCAGAAAACGTCGGCCGACCCGAGCCCTGGCGCACTCGAGCCTCACGTTCCCCCGAGAAGCACAGCATCGACCCCCGCGCCCTGAGCCCCGAGAAGCAGGGAGCGAGCGGCGGCCCAGCCAGGGCGAGCACCAGGAGGACAGGACAGGACATCCGCATCAGGGGGTTCGACGTCAAAGCACCTGCGCTGGTGCCTTGCGCGCTTCCGACACAATCCCCTGCGACTGGTTGTGCAACGGCCCTGCCTTCTCACCAGGGCGAGCACCAGGAGGAGGAGGAGGAGGAGGAGGAGGAGGCGGAGGAGGAGGGGGAGGAGGAGGAGGAGGGGGAGGAGGAGGAGGAGGAGGAGGAGGAGGAGGAGGAGGGAGGGAGGAGAGGAGGGGAGGAGGAGGAGGAGGAGGAGGCGGAGGAGGAGGAGGAGGAGGAGGAGGCGGAGGCGGAGGCGGAGGAGGAGGAGGAGAAGGAGGCGGCGGAGGCGGCGGGCGGCGGGCGGGCGGCAGCGGGCGGCCGCCGCCGCAGCGGGGCTGCGGCGGGAGGGGCGGAGCCTCAAGACCCGGAGGCCCCCGCCGCCGTGGTCCCCGAACGGGCCCCGCCGTGGTGTCCCGCCGTGGTGTCCCGACTGGTGTCTGCGTGGCTGTCCCGTCGGTGGCCCGATCGGTAGCCCGATCGGTAGCCCGATCGGTAGCCCGAGCGGTAGCCCGAGCGGTAGCCCGATCGGTAGCCCGATCGGTAGCCCGAGCGGTAGCCCGATCGGTGTCCCGATGGGTGTCCCGATGGGTGTCCCGTCGGTGTCCCGATGGGTGTCACCACCCTGGGGGGGGGAGGTCCTAAAGCACAGGCGCTGCGGCAGGAGGGGGGGCGGGAGGGGCGGCGGAGCTTCCAGACTCCCTCGGCCCCCCGCGGCCGGGATCGGGAGCGGCTCCAGCAGCAGTGGCCAGCGGTGGAAGCAAGGGCGCCCAATTCCGCGCGTCGCGCTGCGCGGAGCGCGAAGCGCGAATCGCTTCGCGCTCTCGCGCCGCCCCCCTCGGGGAGAAGAGGAGGATGAGGAGGAATCCCGCCGCCCCTTCCCGGGGGGAGGGGGGGGGCCTTAAGGCAGAGGCCTCCCAGAGGGAGTCAGAGTAGATGGAGTCCAAGGAGCGATGCCGCCGCCGCGGACGCCGTCCTCCTCCTCCTCCTCCTCCTCCTCCTCCTCCTCCTCCTCCTCCTCCTCCTCATCATCATCATCATCATCATCATCATCACCATCACCATCATCATCATCATCATCATCAGAATCAGCATCAGCATCATTATCGTCATCATCAGCAGCAGCATGATGATCATCATCATCATCATCATTATCAGCAGCAGCAGCAGCATCATCAGCATCATCATCATCATCATCAGCAGCAGCATCATCATTGTCCTCCTCCTTCTCGCCAGCATCATAATCATCATAATCATAATCATCAGATCATCAACATCAGCATCATCATCATCATCATCATCATCATCATCATCATCATCATCATCACCATAATCATCATCAGCATCAGCATCATCATCACAATCACCATAGTCATCACCATCATCATCAGCAGCAGCATTATCATCATCATCCTCATCAGCATCGTCGTCATCATCATCAGCATCATCATCATCATCAGCATCATCGTCATCATCATCGTGTTCATTATCATCATAATCAGCAGCAGCATCATCATCAGCAGCATGAGCATCAACATCATCATCATCATCAGCATCATCATCATCATCATCATCGTCAGCATCATCATCATCATCGCCGTCACCATCACCATCACCAGCATCATCATCATCATCAGCGTCATCATCATCGTCATCATCAGCAGCATCATCATCGTTATTAGCATATGCAGCATCATCAGCAGCATCAGCATCATCATCGTCATCGTCATCGTCATCATCAGCAGCATCATCGTAACCATCATCATGCTCAGCATCATCAGCAGCAGCATGCGCAACATCATCATCAGCAGCATCAGTATCATCATCGCCATCATCATCAGCATCATCATCACCATCATCATCGGCATCAGCATCAACATCATCATCATCAGCATCATCATCACCAACACCACCATCATCATCATCGTCGTCATCATCAGCAGCAGCATCATCAGCATCATCATTGTCGTCGTCGTCATCGTCGACAGCATCATAATCGTCGTCGTCACCATCATAATATCATCATCCGCATCATCAGCATCATGCTCATCATCCTCAACAGCATCATCATCAGCATCATCATCAGCATCAGCATCATCAGCAGCATCATCATCATTAGTATCATCATCACCATCATCATGATCATCATCCTCATCATCATCATCATCATCATCATCATCAGCGTCATCATCATCCATACCACAACCACCACCACAAGCATCGACATCATCAGCAGCATCATCATCAGCATCATCATTCTCAATATCATCGTCGTCATGATCACCATCATCAACATGAGCATCAGCATCATCATAACCGCCCTCCTGCTGCTCCTCCCCCTTCTCCCCCCACCCCGTGAACTTCCCCTGTTCCTCCCTCCCCCTCCCTTCTCTCGGAGTCTTTTGCTTCACACCATCATGGAGCCTCCTCGTCTCCCCCCTCGGCCTCGGACGACAGGATCTAAGGCGCGACGCCGTCCAGGAGCGGATTCTCCGCAAAGGCGGTTCGATAGCGCCAGGGCCCCGTACAATCTGAACTTCGAGAAGCAAGGGCGTGGGCGTATCCGATAAAACTGCAGCTGCATCCTTCGTTTTCTGAGGCTGAACCTGCCCGGACATCCGGCAGGTCAAGTTTTGTCGATGCGTGGGCCCCAGAGGTCTGGACCTCTTCGCTGGGACTGGTTCTTGATCCTGAGTCGTTTTTTGATGGTCACGAGGCCCAGCGAGGGCCCCCAGAGACCGAAAACGGGTAAAAAACCGGACGCTCCATTTTTTGGGAGCGTCGGACCTCTGGCTGGCAAAATCCTGGTGTCCAAGGCCCTGGTTCCCGAGGCCCTGATAGCGGCAATCCCACACGAGTCCGGGACGGGGGAGCGTCATGGGACGCGGGGATAATTAATGCGGCGAAGGCTGCGGCACCTCTGCCACCGGAGGAGGGGAGGGCGCTCTGGAGGGGAGTCGCAGGTGAAGGGGGGGCGGCAGCAGCCAAGGGGGAAGGAGAAGGAGGGCAAGCAGGACGAGGGCGAGGAGGCACGGGAGGAGAGGGGCCGGGAGGGCGGCGAGGCCGAGGAGGACGAGGGGGAGCGGAGCAGCAGCAGAGGCACGGGAGGAGAGGGAGGAGGAGCACGGCGGGGCCGCGGAGGGCAAAGTCGGGAGCAGGGAGCAGGGCGAGGAGGACGACCGCGCCCACCCCTCGAGCGCCGATCACTTTGGGGGGGGGGGGGGCGATAAGTGGCGGGGGGGAGGGACGTGCACCTCTCGTGCCTCCGTTGGGCCCCCCAGGGGGCCCCCTCGAGGTCCCCTGAGGTGCAAACGAGGTGCACCTCTCCCCCATGCCCCAGTACTGGATGAGCGCGCTCCACTGCTCGCAGAGTATCGGCTAGACGTAAGAGTGGCCTTTCGCAGGAGTGACCTTTGGTGCGGGCACAGATGGATCCCCAGATGGCTGAAAACGAAGCAGTAGCAGCTGATTGCGCGCCCAGGTCTGATCCCCCCGCGGCCCCCAAAAAGCCGCGCACCAACGGTCACTCTTACCCAGGCTCACTCTTGCGTCCAGCCGAGAGTAACTGCTCGCAAATGGCCCGGATGGCCGCCGCGGGGGATCCGCGATGCGCGACATCGAAGCAGACATGTGCTTTTTTCCAGGCGCTTGCGAGCAGGCACCTGGCGAGTAGTGGAGCGAGCTCGGTGGAACACGCCACGCCGAGCCCCATCGGCCTTCCGACATCCCGGGCATGCCCATGCCCATGCCCATGCCGGGCGCGCCCATGCCGGAGCCCATGCTGGAGCCCATGCCCGCGCCGCCCTGGCCAGGCATCGCCTGCCGCGGGGGTGCGAGGGAAGGGCCCGCGCGGGGCGCCCCCGGGACGGTGCTCTGCGCGGCCGCGGCGCGCGGGCGGCGGGGCGGGCGGCGGGCGGGCCCCGTCGGGGCCCCAACACCGTGCGGGGACGGACCGCGTGGTGGCCCTGAAATCCCAGGGGCTGAGACGAGACGATGGTGCCTGCGGGGAGCCCTCCGGCATCCTGCTCGACGGAGCGGGTCCGATTCGGAGCGTCTTCGGAGGAGGAGCTGACGGCGGGCTCCCGCGCCGATGCTGCGCCGGCGTGCGGCTGGAAGAAGTCAGCCAGGCGGAAGCCGAGGGGCACGACTGACCCCACCTCTCGCACGCATCCCTTCTCGTTGCGCTTCGCATCCAAAGACGTAGCCAGCGCTGGGGACAGAGCACCACTCCGAACGACGGAGACAAGGCGCACGGTGCAGCGAGAGCAACATGCTTCAAAGCACAGAATTCGCTGCGGTTGAATTCAGCAGCATACGAGGTATCAAATGCTGAAATCCAGCATGCGTGAAAAACAAATGAACGCCGGAAAGGGCGGGAGCCCGGCTGGACAATGTCACGGGTCAGGAGGCGCGGTACCCAGAATGAGTAAGTTTAGGTTCCGTTTGATCAGTTTGAGACTCTGGGAGGCCAAAGCAGAACTGCGTATGCAAGGCGGGCGTGTAGGGTCGCTGGGAATGCGTAAAAAATTGATGTTGGCATCCTGTGTGCTAACGCTCTTGAGCATACCTCAACAAGCTTAGAGCGGTCGTTTTGCGTATGGCCGTTTTGGGTATGGTCGTGTTGCCCAAACGAGTTTACAGCGGCGGTTTCTTTGGATGAATCACAAAGAAAACCGAAGAGCAGGTGTAGAGGGGGACGCTGTGGGCGAGGGAGGGGGGCGAGAAAGAGGAGACGGGTACGGGGCCGAGGGAACAGGACTGGCAACACCACTACAGGGAAGCTGGAATGAGTGGAAATTGGAAATTCAATGAAAGTGGAAGTGGCCAGGGCCAAACCAAACTAGCAGGGGCTGTGACGAGCACGAAGCAGTTGGGATGAGGTGACAGGGGCTGGAAAACGACAGGAAAGTTCGCAGAGGGGTGGAAAGAGTGGAAGGGCTGGCCCCAGCCACTTGTTCCAGCTTCCCTGCATCTAGGGAAACAAACAATGACATTAACACAAAAAACTCTGAGGTCCGCGCGGATTTCTCAGATCGGCGTTGGACCCCCCTCCCTGGCGCGCGGAGCGCGCCAGAGGCGGTGACGGAGGCGCCGCCGGGGGCGGATCCAAGATATCTGCGCGGAGCGCCAAAAGTTTATGTCTGTGGCGTTTCCTTCTTCGAGTATCACCCAAGGGGGCCCCGGAGAAGCAAAGCTTCCAGGGCCGCGGTGCACGGTTTCGAGGAGGAGGAGGAGGAGGAGGAGGAGGAGGAGGAGGAGGAGGAGGAGGAGGAGGAGGAGGAGGAGGAGGAGAGGAGGAGGAGGAGGAGGAGGAGGAGGAGGAGGAGGAGGAGGAGAGGAGGGAGGAGGGAGGAGGGAGGAGGGAGGAGGAGGAGGGAGGAGGAGGAGGAGGAGGAGGAGGAGGAGGAGGAGGAGGAGGAGGAGGAGGAGGAGGAGGGGTCGCTCAAGCCCTCCGGAGAAACCCTCCAGGGCCGCGGAGAAGCAAAGCTTCCAGGGCACTGCGTTCACCGCGAATGGGCCCCTGAAGATCGCGCGATACACGGTGCGCCCCCTCTTCGATGGCGAGGCAGGTCCCTGCCGCCAGCCTGCCCTCGGAGCGCGCGTGCACCCTCACCACCACCGCGCCGATGCCTCCTCCCTCCTCCACACCTCCCTCCTCGACCCTCCACTACCCTCTTCTACCCTCTGCCTCCTCCCTCCTCCTTTACCTCCCTCCTCTCTCCTCCTCTGCCCTCTTCCTCCCTCCTCCTGTACCTCCCTCCTCTACCCTCCCGGGCTCCAAGAATATGAACCACACCTCCCTCCGCGACCCTCTGCTTCCTCTCCCCTCTCTGGGGATGAGGGGGGGGGAGGGAGGTGGTGGTGGTGCAAACTCGAGAGCGGCCAACAAGGGGGTGTCCAAGAGGGGGGGGTGCAAATCATGACCGGCGGCATGTGCGCGGCCCAGCGGGGGGGCCGGGGACGCAATGAAACAAGAAGAGGCGCCACGAAATAATCTGGGGAGATATCATGGCCCCCGCCATGATATCCACCCCCCCCAGTCATCACCCCCCTCTTTTCCGCCCCCGATACACGTTTGGGCCCCGTAGACCCGCGGCCGGGCGTGGGACAGCGCTCGGGTCGCGGGGCGGCGATCCTCGCGTCGCCTAGGCGACCCCGCGCCTCTCCCCTGCCGGGGGGGGATCAGCTCAGCAGGAGGAGGAGGACGAGGAGGAGGACGAGGAGGAGGAGGAGGAGGAGGAGGACGAGAAGGAGAAGGAGTACGATCAGGAGGAGCTCACATCCCACGATCGGCAGTCCCGCCCCTCCCCCCCCCCCACACCGCCGCCCCCGCAGGGCGCGCGGCCCAGGCCTGGCCGCCGGTGAACGTGCCCTTGGCCTTGGCCATGATGGCCTCTGCTTTTCGGAAGACGTTCACGGCTGCCCACTTGCCTGGGAGGGCCAGGGCTGGGTGGTAGCAGCACGGACGGGGAGGGGCACCAAAGGACCCGCAGATGCGGCACGAGCCGTGCAGCCTCGCACTGCTCTGGCAGGACGCGCCGCGGCTCGTGCGTAAGCGAGACCCGGGCCAGCAGAAGCACAGCCTGCAGCTGCCACCGTGCCTGGAGCACGCAGTGGAGTGCACGGGGCTCACACAACTGTGAGCGGTCCGACGACTGCAGAGCTCCACAAGGCCCGAGCCCCCGGTGTGTCAGCACTCTCGGGCGCGCTCTGGCGCTCCTCTGCGGCGCGCGGCCTCCCGGGGCGCGAACGTCCAGGGGAAGCCAGAGTGGCATGCGGGTGCCGGAGCGCACACCGTTGGCTGCTGGACCGCTCGCGCTCGACAAAGGTCACCATGCGGCCAATGACGCAGCGCACGCCGGGGGATGCTGGAGCGCTCGCGCTCGGCAGAAATGCGGTGATGCGGCGCACGCCGCTGGTTGCAGGAACGCCCGCGCCCTGCAGAAGTCCAGTGCTGGAGCGCAGTCTTGTTTCCTGCATGCACTACTGGAAGGTTCTCCCTGGTACAAACTGGGCGCTTGGAGACACCCCGTCTGGGACTGTAAACATATGCACAGGACTTGGGAAGGGGGAGGGGCCGCGGCAGGGGGCGGGGTTCCTAGCATTGTATTAGCGCCTCGCTCTCATACGGGGCCCATTGTTTACACGCCCTGCCAAATGTGTCGTAGCGACACGGGTGGGGAGCTGCAGGCGAATGGGTCTACACAGGAGCGTACGCGCGACCTGTTGGGGCCACCGTGTTGCAGAGCACACGATCGCAGAAACAAATGTGTGCGTGTGCGCGCGCGTGCGCGTATCAGTTTGTCGGCGCACGTGTGTTTGTCGGTGGGCGGGCGGGTGCGTGCAGATGTGGTGGTATCGTGCGTACGCGCTTGACTTGTTGGGCACGCGTGCGTCTGTGTTTCTGGGGAATTTGGGCATGCGAATACGTGCGTGTGTGTATTCGTGTGTGCGCGCGTGCGTACGAACAGGTCTGGGATGTCACGATTGTCGTGATTATGGACAACGGACGAGGAGGACATGGATGAGGAGAATGACGAAAATGAGAGCCATTAACCTCGAACTCGCTTGAGAATCCCCCCGGCATTAACCACATGTTGAAAATGCTTTGGACGAATTCCGACGGGGGAACTGCCAGAGTATATCGCGTAACAACCACATGAATAAATAACGGTTCTGCGGATGAGGGCTGCGGGAATAAGAGGAGTGGAAGAGGAATCCGTGAGTGTTCTCATCGAAGAAGAACTCTGACTGGGTTACCATTCTAACTCTTTCTAAGGAGTACCATCGACACAATCGAGCCTAGTCGACGAAAACGAGGACAGGCGACGACGACGACAACGAGGACGACGACGACGAAGACGAAGACGACGTGCTGCAGCTGACCCACGAGGGGGTTACTGCATGGGCCCGCCGTAGTCGACGAAAACGACGCGCTGCGGATGCCCCAGGCGGGGGGGGTGCTGCGTAGGGCCGCCGCAGTCGACGACGAGGACGACGAAGACGACGACGAGGACCACGACGACGACGACGACGACGACGACGCCCACGACGACGCCGACGACGGCAATGACGACGACCACGGCTATGGAAATCCTGTCGGGATGCGATTGGGATGATGTTGATATCCTATTGGATCCCGGGGTTTCTGGTTAGAAAATTTAGTCGAATTCGATGGGAATGGCATTGAAACCTATTGAAACCTTACTGGGATCCGATTGGAGTCAGATTGGGATCATCGAAGCGTATCGGAGCCCAGGGATCCGACTAAAACCATATTAGAACCCTCTTGGAAATTTCACCAGCCATCTAGAGCGTAAGTGGTTTAGGGCGTTTTTATTTCCAACCTCGCTCCACTTCAGGAAGAGATCTACCTCTCGCCCTCCCCCCCTCCCTGGGTCTGGACTGGGGGAATCGCGGGTCGTTGGAGCGTCCAAGAAGGCCTCGGCGACAAGGCAAACATCATTCATGTTCGTTAGGTATTGCTCCTCCTGGGGTGGCAGGGCTACTAATTAAGAACCCCCCCCTTCTTTAATCGATAGCCTCCCAGATGACCCCAGACGTTTGGGCCAACATGGCTCCAAGATGGCTCAGAAAGCCCAAGATGGCCTCCAAGATTGCTCGATATACCCCAAGATGTTTCCAGACGGCCACCAGCATGCCTCTAAGAAGCGCAAAAACCGCTGCAAGACGGCTCCCAGTGGCCACGGAGCTTCCCAAGGAAGCCCCCAAGAGGCTTAAATTCGTCCAGAATCAAAAGAAAACAATGTCATTGGCCATCTCGTTGTCTCACTTCCAATGGGTTTCCCATGCCTCACGACCAAGAGGGCCCCAAGAGAGGCTCAAGGGGGCCCCAAGTTAGCCCCAAGAGAGCCCAAAAGGGCCCTAAGAGGCGACTCTAGGGGATCAAATAATTAAGGCCCCACCTCTTCGTACATCGATATCCTCGTAGATGTCCTCAATAGGGCCCACAAGGCTCCCAAGAGGGCTCCAAGGTAGCCCCAAGAGGGCCCTCATAGGGCCCGAAAGACCTCCCAAATTCGCTGACCCTGTCGGCGCGTGTGAGACGATTTTCCGTTTGAGTCGTCGTCGCCGTCGCCGCTCTCCCCCTGTCCCTGAACCCTCCTCCTCAAGCGATCCAGCCAGACGGGAATCGAACAACGTCGTACTCGAGTCGAAATTGAGCCCCTTCCCTTTGACCCCTTTCCCACACGGGGGGGGGGGTCCGAGGGTGGATCGCCAGGTGGGGTGGCAGGGGGGGATGGATCCCTTGGGGATTCCCAGGGGTCCCCAGATTAGAATGCACGCCATCCCCGTGCCCGACCCTCGACGTCCTGACTCTGTTCAAAACGTCGACACCATAGAAACCTGGACCCCTTCCCCGGGACCGGTTCTTCATCGTGAGTCGTTGTTCGAAGGTCCCGAGGCCCGGTAAGGACCCCCAGAGGCCTAAAATCGGGGAGACGTAAGACTCGGGTATGGGGGACTCGAGTTGGCCTGACGGGGCCATCATGAAAATGACGAGACCCAATCTGAGCTCCCGCTGCAAACATCCCACGAAAACTGGACCGTCAAAATCCAGGACGCGCTCGTCAAAAAGCGTCGGCAAACCCGAGTGCCGGCGTACTCGAGTCTTACGTTTCCCCGATGAAATAGCGGAACAAGAACTCGTCGTGATTGTTTCATGCCGCGAAGGAGTCTGGGTCCCTGGGCCCTCCTCCCCAAACGTTCCATCCAGAGGGAAATCGAACAGCATCGTCATCGAGTCGAAGGGAGCAGCCCCGTCCCTGTGGTGCCTGCCCCGCCAGCGGGAAGGGCCCCAGGGAGGGGCCGGTCCCGGGGGGGGGGGGGTCCCGGGACCGGCCCCTCCGACCAAGACGGCACAGGAGAGCCCCAAGGAGCAGCAAGAGGGGGAGCACCAACCGACATCTGAAGCCCTCTGCCTCGAGAGGCCACCAGAGAGCCCCAGAAGGCGCCCGCGGATCCCCCAAGAAGGCCCTTAGAGCCAACCAAGACGCCACGAGGCAGCCCCAGGAGCACCCCCAAGGAGCAGCAAGAGGGGGAGCACCAACCGACATCTGAAGCCCTCTGCCTCGAGAGACAGCCAGAGAGCCCCAGAAGGCGCCCGCGGATCCGCCAAGAAGGCCCCACCCCTTGCGAAATGCTTAAGAAATCATGGGTTAAAGAATTCAGAGTCTCAGAATTTGAATAAAAACCCAGAATTTCTATTGAAATCTTAGGATTTACAATGAAACATTAAGAATAATCGATACTCTGGCCGAAAACTTAAGTTTTCTTAAGCATCGCCTAGGGTGTAGAGCCAACCAAGACGCCACGAGGCAGCCCCAGGAGCACCCCCAAGAGAGACCCAAGAAGGCAAGATCGTCGAGGTCCTGAAGGCTTATTCCACGATGTTCGAGTTCTCGCCTTTCGAGCTTCTCGCGCTCCAAGGCGGCCGAAGAGGCCCCCTGGATCGCTCCAAAACGGCCCAGGTCTTCTCCGAAAGAGTCCAACGACTGCCCAAGAAGGCCTCACGACGGCCCAAGGACGCCCGAAGACGGCCCAGAAGGTATCCCAAGAGAGCCCAAATATAGGAAGCCAAGACGGCCCCCACAAGGCCTCAGACGCTCCGAGGCAGCCCGAGGAGGCCCCCATATCGGCCAAAGACTGCCCGAGAAGCGCTCTGGGCGGCCCCAAGACGGCCCAAGAATGCCTCTAGGCGATCTGAAAGGAGGCCACACAGAGAGGTCAACAGGGCCCACAAGGGCCCCCACCAAGTTTCGCGAGCGTCGTCGTCGTCGTCGTCATTGCCGTCGTCGTCGGCATTGACGTTGCCCGCCCTATTTGTTCCGCTGCATTCTCCCCCACTTCCCTGATCAAGGCAGCTCGCCTGGGCATCGTTGCTAGATGGGCTGCTGGGGATCCACGAAGCGTCAACGATTGGGATCGTCTGAGGGAGGGTCCGATAGGAACATGATCAGACAGCATCGTAAGAGAGAGAGAGAGAGAGAGAACGACTGAAAGAGAGTGTGTGAGAGAGAAGAGAAAAAAGAGGGAAAGAGAGATGGAGAGAAAGAAGGCAGACTCTGCGGATATGAGATTCCATATGAGGCACCGTATCAAACACTAAGTGTTTGCTGCTCTGCGTAGAAGGACATGCCGATGAATATCGACCCTCCACCAGCACCGACCGCATTATTTCAGCACCGCAACTCCGAGCACGTAATAAGTTCCCCACGGGTGGGCAGGAAAGATACTACGTAATCCGATTGCAATCCTGATGGAATCCGAGTGGGATCATGTTGGACTCCAATTGGGATCTGATTGGAATCCCATTCGGATCTGCTTTGGATCAGACTGAAACCCATGGGAATCTGATTGGAATCCGATGGAGATGTTATCATAATCTCGTTGGAATCCTGCTGGAATATGATAATCCGATTGGCGTCGTATTGGAATTCGATTGGAACCTTATTAGAATATGATTGGAATCTACTCGGAATCCTAGTGGACTCCGACTGAAATCCTGTTGGAATCTGTTTGGGATCCGATTGGCGTCCTATTGGGATTCGATTGGAAACCTATTGGAATATGATGGGAATTGGACTCCGATTGAAATCATGCTGGAATCGGATTGGGATCTTATTGAAATCAGTTTGGAGTACTATCGGATTCTTCCGATTGGGACCTTATTTAAATCCTATTGGAATCCTATTGGGCTCCAGATTGCAATCATATTGGAATATGATCGGATATGATTGGGATCCTATTGTAATTGAATTTGGACCCGTAGCAATCCTAGTGGAATGTCATTGGCAACCTGTTGGAATTCTATTGGGATCCGTCCGGATTTCTGATGGAATCCTGTTCACGTCCGATCGGAATCCTCGAAAATCCTTCCAGGGGCGGAGAGGTCGGGATGTGTAGTATTACGTCCAGGGGATGGGCAGGGGGGGTCTTAACCGGAGGTTGAGGTTAGGGTTAGGTCAGGCGTGTCCTCCTACAGGCGGATTGGACGAAAAATAAAACATTGTCAACAAGTACTCAAAAATAGTCACACAACATTAAAAACGCCCCCTTCTCATTTCGACTATTTTGGGATATTCCTCCTGTAGAGGGAAATGCCCGACTTCAGGTAAGGAACACGAGGACCTGGGAAGCGCCTGGGGCCGCCTGGGAGCGCCTGGGAGCGCCCGGGAGCCCCAGGCATCGTCTGGGAGCGCCGGGGAGCCCCCCTAGGAGTGCGGCCCCGGTCCGAACGGATGCCGAGGCCGCGGCCGGGGAGGGAGGGTGCGGAGACGGGGCGTGCCAGGGGTCGGGGGTGCAGTGCAAGCTTGTGCAGGCTGGCCTGTGGAACGGCGGAGTGAGTCAAGCGGCAGGGACTTGACATACCACATCACATATGAATCAAATAGGTTTGTATGCATGCGCGCATGCGTGCAGGCACGCATCCACATGCACGCACACACACACACACACAGCAAGCCAAGACCTCTCTGAATCAACACAACAAAAAAACACCGTAAACTACACCAGGCGATCAATTAAACACGGCCCGTCATGACCCGCCGACAGAACTGCGAGCTGGACACGCACAAAGCCAATGAAAAAAAAACACCGCTGATTGCCGCTAACTGATGAACCCTCTCCCCAACAGAGCGCCCAACCCAGCTAAAGCCGCTGACACGACCACCAAGCCAAACCCAGCGGCATTCTCATCCCACAACCAATGCAAAACACTGACTCACGTGCAAGGTGCAAGGAGGCGACGGTGACCTTCTGAGCCAAAATGAGGGTTGGAACCTGATACCGAGGCTGTGCGCGTGGCATGAGCAAAGCCCGTTCTACGCAGAAGTTGGTCAGGCCTTTTCTCCACATTCCCTGCACTCATGCGAAGGATCTGATTTCAGTTGCAAACAGGCGATGTCCACAATCCACACCAGAATGGTCACCGGAACGTGTTCGCAGGGCTGCGTACGTTTGATGGGCAGGGGCCGAAGACGCTGGCCTGGCTTCTCCTTGTCTTCGACAACCTGGGCCTCCACGGTCTCTCCGACAGTCAGCTCGGTGGCTCTCCTCTCCTCCAATGGGATCACGAATGGGGCAGACAACGAGCAGGAGGAGAAGGCGCAGCAGCAGCACGAGGAGGACCAGCAGGAAAAGCAGTTGAAGAAACATAGGACAAAAAAAAAAAAAAAAAAAAAAAACTCCAGGCCCCCTGGTCGACGGCGGTGCCACAAAGTTGTAATTGCGACAAGACCCCGCCCTTCGGCCCGCGCGACGACGCATACACTGCCGTGACAAAACCTTATGCGGTGTTGCATAATGTTGGATTGGAACATCGTGTCCTTCTGAAGATTCCTAACATGGGAAGATGGCACCTGCACCCCCGCGAAATAATGTGGGTCCCTCTTAACAAATAATTCTGATATCTCGAACCAGGGTCGCAAATTATTCCGCCCAGTCTGTCATGAAAAACGGGGCGGGATTCATGTCCGCGCGGGGGAATGTCTCCTCCGCCTATTCCGCCTACTCCGCCACTTGGCAGTCATCTTGCACGCAAACCACATCATATGTTTGTCACGGCGATGGGGAAATTTGCCCCCCTTCTCGTTTCTCACGGGCCCATCCAGCCCAGGGACCTGGAGATGTTATGCACAGGAAGATGGTGATGCTGGCAGTGGTGGTCGTCGTCGTCGTCAATCTGGCAGGTCACAATCGTGAGTCGCGGGCGCGCATCGCGAGCGCGGGTCGCAGGTCGCTCGTCGCAGGTCGCAGACGCGAGTTGCCGGCACGGGTCGCGGGCGCTGCAGATTGCAGGCGCTGGTCGCGCGCACGCCTCGCAGGCGCGCGTCGCCGGCGCGGGCCGCAAGTGCGGTTCCATCGCAGATTGGGCCCGGGCTGCGCCTCCGTTGAGAGAATTCGACAGTTTCAGCTACTGGTGGGGAGGTGCCACGCACACGCGGAGGCAGCACGGCGAGGCAGACACACCAGCTCTTGTGCGGGCGACGATGACTGCGACAATCGGGTCGGGCGAAAGGGGGGGATAGCAAAGGGGGGGGGTGAGAATCAGCTCACGTAGCTGATTTTCCCGGCGCCTCCCGGCGCCGGGGGCGGCCATGTATCGAGGATTGGGGCCGAAACCATCTGCATGCAGCAGATTTCGTACCCCCCCCTTTCCCAATCCCCCCCTCTGGCCATCGCTCGGACGTCCATTCCCTGTGTTTTTTTCGGCTTCGTGCGTGGCTTTTTCGCCACATGATCCAGGATGCTCCTCGAGGGCCCTCGCCGAAGGAAAAATGCACACGTCCCAGCGATGCTAAGCCCTTTCGCCCGGCTCGAGGCAAGCAGGTGCCGCTGTCGAAGTCCATCCCGTTCTGGGGGTCGGAGGACGGCTCTGCGCCAGCGCTGCGGCGCCTGGACAGCAAGAAGACGAGCAAGGAGGACTGGTCGGAGGCGTTTCGAGGCGGCTCGAGGCAAGCAGGTGCCGCTGTCGAAGTCCATCCCGCTCTGGGGGTCGGAGGTCTCGGAGGACGGCTCTGCGCCAGCGCTGCGGCGCCTGGACGGCAAGGAGACGAGCAGGGAGGACCGGTCGGAGGCGTCTCGAGGCGGCAGGGGGTCCGCCGCGCTCCGCGCTCGGAACCCACAGAAGAGGTCCGGGCCTTGGATTAAGTCGGGCCTGTCCCCCCTACAGGGGCACTTTCGACGAAAAATGAAAAATACCCAAAAAATAATCAAAAAATCCTCCAAAAATAGTCTGGGGACTAATTTTTTGATATTTTTTACCTATCCGACCACCCTTCGGGTGATAAGAGGTGAGGGGGGGGGAAGGGACCAACGTCGCACTCGATCGATCTTACTATCGAACTCACTACCGATCTCACAATCGATCTCAATCGATCGATCTCACAATCGATCTGACTATCGATCTCACAATCGATCTCACAATCGATCTCACATTCGGTCTCGCTATTGATCTCACAATCGATCTCACAATCGATATCACAATCGATCTCACATTCGATCTGACTATCGATCTAACTATCGAACTCACTTTGGATCTCATTATCGGTCGTACATTCGGTCTCACTACCTATCTCACTATCGATATCACACCCGATATCACAATCGATCTCACATTCGGTCTCACCATCGTATCTCACTATCGAACTCACTATCGATCTCATTATCAATCTCAATCGATCGATCTCACAATCGATCTGACGATCGATCTCACAATCGATCTCACAATAGATCCCACTATCGATCTCTCATTCGGTCTCACTGTCGATCTCACTATCGATATCACAATCGATCTCACAATCGATCTCCCATTCGGTCTCACAATCGATCTCACTACCAATACCACTATCGATCTCAAAATCGATGTCACAATCGATCTGACATTCGGTCTCACGCTCGATCTCACAATCGATATCACTATCGATCTCACTATCGATCTCATATTCGACCTCACTATCGATCTCAGTATCGATCATCAAAATAAAACACCAACACCATCATCACCATCATCATCAGCAACATCAACATCAACAACATCATCATCATCATCATCATCATAATCAGCATCATCATCGTCATCATCATCATCCTCATCATCATCCTCATCATCCTCAGCATCCTCAGCATCATCATCATCATCATCATCATCATCATCATCATCATCATCATCATCATCATCATCATCATCATCATCATCATCATCATCATCATCATCATCATCATCATCATCATCATCATCATCATCATCATCATCATCATCATCATCATCGGGTCACCGACGGGACACCCGCGGGACACCGGCGGGACACCGCGGGGCCCCGGCCGCCCGGAAGGGAGACATTTGGTCCTGCCGCGCCTCAGCCACACGGGACACCAGCGGGACACCGGCGGGACACCGCGGGGCCCCGGCCGCCCGGAAGGGAGACATTTGGTCCGGCCGCGCCTCAGCCACAGGAGACTTTCTCTCGCCCGCCCACGCAGCTTCGCCTCGCCCGCACGCACGGCACGCACGAACACGAAACCGAAATCGATTTCCCGGTAGGGGGGCTCTCCGTTCCACTTCGATCTCACCCCCTCACCTCCGACCTTTTTGGGGCATTTTGGGTGCATTTTTAATTTTCATCCAAAATGCCCCTGTAGAGGTGGTCACGCCCGACATAAGCCTTGGACCATCCTCCGCTATGCACGAGGTTTTTGAGAGCGACGGCCAGCGCGGACGGGCACGGGGCGGAAGGCATTGTCCGCTGGGACGTGCCCGCGAAGAGTGACCTCGGTCCCGTCAACATGTTCTGGGCATGGTTTCGAAGGAAGCTGCGGTCGATGGATTTGGACGATCTGCGGAAGAAACAGCGCCCTCTGGGCAGAATGGCGTACGCCGCACGGGTCAAGCAGGTTGTGAAGACCCGGAAGGCCCAAACAGTTGGCAAAAACGTCGGACGGCGATTCCTGAAGGCCTGCAAGCAGGTGGTGAGCCGTGACGGTGCGGCGGCGGACAGTTGACTTGGGAAGACGAGGCCGTCGCACCGGAACTCTTGCCACCATCGCCTGGACTGTAATTGCATTCGCTGCGTGAGCTTGCCTGACTGTCGCGTGGATAGAGGCCAGAACAGAAAACAGCGGGATTGTACACTGCCAAGTTTGTGCGCTTTCCATGATGTTGGGGGTTCTTATCCCTCTGAAGATTCCTAGCACGAGAAAACCGCCCCCGTACTCCCGCGCGGAATAATGCGGGTTCTTCCAAATCGATCACTCTGCATATTAAAACAAGATCGGGAATTACTCCGCCGAGTCTGTCATGAAAAATGCTGCGGGATGCATGTCCGCGCGGAGTACTTTCTGCTCCGCCGACTCCGCCTACTCCGCCAGCCAGCAGTCATCTTGCACGCAGACCACATAATAATCTTGCTACGGCGACTGGAGTCCACGAAAATGAATACTACGATACATGAACGTGACGCGATCCCGATGTGGCAACAGCGCCCTAAGCAAGTACAATCATGGAGGCGGTGCTTGGCATTGCTTGACATTCCTTTGCAGACTGGGAAATTCGTGAGCGGCCAAGAGGGGGGTGTCCAAGAGGGGGGGTGCAAATCATGGCCGGCGGCATGTGCGCGGCCAAGGGGGGGGCCAGCGACGCATTGAAACAAGAAGAGGCGCCATGAAATCTGGGGAAGTATCATGCCCCCCGCCATGATGTCCACCCCCCCCTAGTCATCACCCCCCTCTTTTCCGCCCCCGATCCTTTGCAAACTGGGACATCGGGCAACCCGAAGACGGCCTGACAACAGGGGCACCCGGAGACTGGGCAGACCGGACGCCCAGACGCCCAGGCAGCTGGGAGCAAGCCGTCCAGCCGCGCAGCCCGGGAGGGCGCCCGGCAACCCGGCAGCCCGAGCGCGGCGTCTCGGGAGCAACGCGCCGGAGCTGCCTGCCGGGTGTTGCTAGAAGTTGACTCGAAAGTTTGACGTCGACCGACATTGGAGGGGCGGCGCATGCAAGTACCCCGCACTCATCGATACTCGGCCCCAGATCTTCCGACAAGCAGTTCAACCACGTCAGACATTTTTGAGGTTGATTTTGACGAGGGTAGTAGAAGTGCCCCTGGCCCAAGGTGCCCGCAGCTTTTCGCTCCGCTTTGGAGCCGCTGGGGCCCTCTGGGCCTCGTGAGGGGCACGTAGCCTGGAGGCCGTCTGGGCCACCGCGAGAATCCTGGGGGCACCTGGGGCCAGGGGTACTTCCAGCAACACCCGAGCCTGCTCCCTCAAAGTAAGAGCCCCGGGCAAAACCTGGTCGGGAAATCCTCTTCAGGAAATCCCCGAGACGCCGTACCCAACCCCTTCTCCACGCAAGGCGAATGTTTGAGCGAACGCTTCATAATAGAAGACCGCATCGCTAGATATGCACGATCTGCGCTGCCCTCATCTCCGCCGTGCCTCCCAGGATCCCACGAAAGAGGCGACGGTTACGCAGTTCGTAGCCTCCCAGAGATCCGCGAGATCTCGGCTGGTTCCGCGTGGCCCCCGACTCCGCTAGACCTCCGAGGAGCCCACGAAAGGGCGCCAGTTGCGCATTTCGCAGCCACCCATGGAGCTGCGAGGCCCCGTTGGGCTCCGCGTGCTTCCCGACTCCGCTGGACCTCCCAAGAGCAAGTGCCGACAACTGCGCGCAGTTCGCAACCCCCCAGGGAGCTGCGAGGTCCCGTCTGGGTCCACGTGCTCCCCGACCCCGCCGTGCCTCCAAGGAGCCCGCGGAAGTGGCGACAACTGCGCAGTCCGCAGCCCCTCAGCGATCTGCAGGGCCTTGGCTGGATGCGCGTACCACCCTGCTCCGCAGCTGCCTCCCGGGCGCCCGCGATAGAGTGGCGACATTTTTACGCAGCTCGCGGCCACCCAGGGAGCAGCGAGGACTCCGCGGGACCTCCCAGGGGCCTACGAAGGTGGCGTCGTTTGCGCAGATCGCAGTCCCCCAGGGAACTGCGAGGTCTCGTCTGGGTCCGCCGGTAGAGGGAAACAATTGGTGAACACCCCCCCCCTGCCCCCCAAACTCAAAGTTGGCACGCGGGGGGGAGACTGCGGTCGAGGTGCAACTCATCAGACCCACCGCCAACTTTGAACACTGGGGGAAGGGGGAGGCGTTCACAGATGAATGTGGCATGAGTGTTCGCTGATTTTTTCCGAGGCCTGGCGCACTCC